AAAAAAAATCTATATTTATTTAATAGCATAAGATAGGAAAAATTCATGGCTTCGCTGATGTTTACATGGTTCCCTTGAGACTTTTGCTTCTCCTCCTCAGATAGATCAAAGAATATTTACAGCAATCAATCATGACCTGAGCAAGCTCTCTGGCCCTCCATGATTGATCACCTGATTTTGAAAGGAACAGAGTTTCACAAACATCAATGTACAGTAGAATAGTTAGCTAAAGACATGATGGGCCAACGCAAAAATCAAACAAGAAAAGGAGAGAATTATATTGGTGCTGATTAATGATGATCAACTAATCAAGTTGATGGCATTGCAATTTCAGCCGTCTGGAACCAATGACTGAGCGATAGTTTGGCTAAAAATAAAGCACAATCCCCTGTTAGAAAACCGATGCCTTCGTTGTGGCAAACAATTCTTGATCTTATGATCCATAAACCATACAACTCAAAGTCAAATGTCAGGAAGTGGAAACACGAGGGATTTCCTTCGGAAGTTACACCGATCTCTTCTAATAGCTTGTGCGAACTTTGCTATCGTCTAATGGCTTCAATCTGCATCACAGACATTAAAAACTTTGCTTCTAATGCTAATGAAGGTTAAAAGTTATGGAACTTTGGAATTCTCAATGAAACAGAAATTAAGACTTGATGGCTTTAAAGTTGTCGTCATAGTAAAACCAAGGCCCCCCTCTCTCATAGCTGGATGACTTACTGTGGTGTGGATTATGATATGGTCCGTAAGGACCGTAACACCATTGATGCCGACTAGGGAACCGACAAAAGTTGTTGGCAGGTTGATACTGCCAATTTCAGCCGCAGATTTTCAAACAAAATACAAAGAAAATTACTGCTGATAGGTGACCCAACAAATCTTGCTGGCAGTGCCAATTTCAGCCACTGATTTTGCTCATACAAAATACAGTTATGTAATGCTGTTTTAGGGAATCAGTGACCAAGAAATGTGAAGTAGATTGGTGACCGACCAAGGAATGCTGTTGGCAAGTTGAATAGCCGATTTCAGCCATTGATTATGGAACAAGGCGTTGCTGTTTTTGGAATCAGCAACCGAGAAAAGTAAATAAATGGGCTGGAAAATCAACGCTCGTATTGACTTCAGGACCAAGCAATGCTTAGGCTGAATATCACAAATTTCATAATCCAAAACTAACAAGGTTAAGAGTTATGGAAGAAGTCAGCAGGAAAATGGCCAAGTACAAGTATTGTTCTTCTTGAACAGAAATATGGATGTGCAGCAGCAATTTTTACACAAAAAAAGATGAGATAAAAGCACAACCACTTCATTAAGACAAAACGTTTTACTCACAGTTGAATGTTTCTTTTTCAGAAAACTCAAACTGTGACAAGCCCAATATGATCCCATTTTGGATCGCTTTCATTTTCCGTTGAGATGTCCTAAACTTCAGCTTCTTTTGTCCTATTACTATAGTATATGTTGCATTTATATTATGAAAACCTATGAAATCCACTGCTTGTTGATAGATTTCAAAACATGCACTTCAGCTTCTTTTGTCCTATTACTACTATAGTATATGTTGCATTTATATTATAAAAACCTATGAAATTCACTGCTTGTTGATAGATTTCAAAACATGCCAGCTTGCATTTTCCTCACCTGACAGAGAAGTCCATGAAAAAGATCTAAAGCATCATGAAGGAAGACCTGAATTCCGGTTCCGGCGAGGTATTGACAAGAAAAATTTCCCACTACAAGAAATTGACCGCTTCAATGAACTTGGGCCTATTTGAAAAGACCTCCCAAAAGAAGAAGTAGCCATGAATTTTATCAAGTTCTGATTTCCGCCACCTCTGTTTTGAACGATTTCTCCACTGGATCCATTCCCCCCGCCAGCCCTCCTGGTATCTGAATTCCTATCAGATTCCACTGCAGGATGAACATTAGCAAGAGCCTGAATTATCTTGAAAGCTGACAAAGAATCTAAAGAAACTGATCTTCTCAGTGGCTGTATCCCATCCTCCTCCTCCTCCTCCAAATTCTCACTCGGTAATTCACTTTCCACCTCTGTTACAATCCTCACTCCACCATCTCTACCTTCCATCTCTCTACCAGTTTCTTGATCCTCTTCCAAAACTTCAATCCTGGCTTCTTCTCCAGTACTTGTATCGTCAAGATTAGCCTGTGATGATGTTGCTATGGCTGTGTTGGTGACTATAGGAGCTCGACACAAAGGGCAATTAGTATGGGATCTAAGCCAAGTATCAATACATGGGATATGAAAAGCATGGCTACACTTTGGTAATAACCTAAGATTCTCATCATCGTGAAACTCACTCAAGCAAATAGAACATTCAGTACCTTCAACAAGACCATCACCACTTTTATACTTGAAAACTCTGATAGAACCAATAACAGATGGTTGTAACCCTACTGTCCTGATGTACCATATTGGATGGTCAACTACACGACCTTCATCTTCATCCGCAAACTGATCACGGGTCTCAATTATTTCTACTTCTTCTGCTTCATCTTCTCGCTGTGTTGATCTCCTTCTTCTTGGTCTTATGAACTTGGCATAGATAGCATAACAAGTAGCAAGAACAACAGTTACAGCTGATAACACAATCATTGCCAATGCAATCTTGCCAAGCTTTTGCTGTGGTGAGGAGTCGACACCAAATAATTCTGAACATTCTGATTTACAGCTTTCTGTGTAATTTTTTGCTTGACATGATGCGACACAATCATCGTAAGACGCGAACAACAACCTTCTGTATTGCAGAGCCATTAAAGATCAGGGCGACACAGAATTTTGAGCTTGGTTTTGGAGAGAGAAAGAGTGGAACATCAAGAGAGGATCGGAAGATACAAAGTGAAAAGATTGAAAGGGTTTGGTATGGAAGAGAGATTATGCAAGCATTGGTGGAAGGTTGCTTGCAGCCGCCTTGATTTGGAAAAGGAGCGTGGTGGATAATAGATTATTGGCCTTTCCCTTTCCTTTGACTATTCTTTTGTGTAATTTTTTTTTTCTATCATAGCTTACACAATTTAGCCCAGGGGAGGTTAATTAAAATTCTAAATTTTAAATTTTTTTATATATATATTTAGATTAATTTAATGTACTACATAAAAAATAAATAAATAAATATATATATAGATATATATTTTTAATAAAAAAATATTTTAAAAAATAATAGTTACGACGTACACTTTCAAATACACTTAACAACTATTTATTTCTCACCAACTTTTAATTATTAATCAAGTTTATTTAAGTCTATGACTCTTTTCTTTTTCCATGTGATTAATTTGTAGTTGTTTTTATCACAATTTTAATGTTATTACTTCTTACTATGCATAGCCATAGAAGTAGAAATAATAAAAGTATTCACAAATATGTACCGTATTTTTCATGGGAAATTTATATTTATTTTTTTAACACAAGGGTGTGTAAATAACTAAAAATACATCGCTACAACAAGTATATAATTAAGTATATTTTATCTAGTTATACATTTTTCATTATTTTAACTATATATGCACATAAGTTTTATATAGAAGATTTATGTATTTTATATTTTAAAAATAGAACACACGCACATGTATATTTAATAATAATATGCATCAAGAGCTTGTAAATATATAGATAATTATCAAAATTGAGATTTCCAATAATGTATCCCACCTTGGGCCAGAGCTTTGGTCTCATGAATTTAGGATAATATTAATTCCTACGTTAAGTATGCTTTAATGGCATATAATCCTGGTAGCTGAATCTTAAGAGTTCATTCTCAAGTATAGTGGAAATTGTATTTTTTAAAATTTTATTTAAAAAAATTATATTTTCAGATTGTATTGGAGTTAAAAATAAAAAAATTATTATTTTAATATATTTTTTAAAAAATAAAACTTTAAATCGCTATCATAATACAATTCCAAACAAAAACAGTCAAACAGCAGGTACAGCCATGCGCCACCCCTGGAGCAAAAGTAAAACCAGGCAAACAACGAAAATCAACAAGCGAAGCGTTGATGTTTGTTTTTACGGTTTTAATGTATTAATTATAAAAATAATTTTCTTATATATATATATTTAAATTAAAAATATTTTAAATCCACCGCCGTAAAACAAATCTGAAACATGTGGATTCTGGCAATCTGCTTGGTGATAGGATTAGGATGCACTATAACGAAGCGAATATGGGGCCCAAAGACGAGTCTCTTCATTACCTGTTGAAAGCCTCTGCTGCTGTTAGCTAATAAGATATTGGTTGTCGTGATGATAACGCGTTTACATTTTGTTTGATAATGTTATTTATTATTATTATTATTATTAATATGTTTTGGGTAATTTATTTATTTATCAATTAAAGCGGCTCCATGGTACATGTTGGGCCCAATACAAAATCCCAGTTGATTTTGATTTAGTTTTTTACACGTGGAAGCACACGCACAAAGGCATTAATTCTTCTTCAATCTCAGTCCATTGTTATATATATATATATATATAAAGAAACTAAAACACATGAAATAGTGTCATTAAGTGTTTGTAGTTCTTAAAAAAATAACAAAACTTATAATTATATTTTATATAAAATATTTTAATGATTAAAATTAGTCATTCGTGATGATATTTAGGAGTTGTTCTCTTTATATTGAGAAGATATATATTCATTAAAGAGGTGTGGTTAAGTTTTAACAAACTTTTTCTTTTCCTTTTTTTTTTTTTATCTCTCTTGACCTACAAAATCATGCAATTCCTTTAAAAATTTAACTGTGTCCTTCAATTCCAACTTCTATCCATTTTAGTTTTTATTTTTTAAATTATTATTTTTGGTTCTTTTAATATTATATATAAATTATTTTTTTTCAATTTCATCCATGAACATTTTATTTTATCTAGTTATTATATTCAATCTAGTCTTTATTTTTTGATTTTTTTATATTTGATTGTTTTCTTTTCAATTTTATTCCTCATTGTTTATTTTTTTTAATTTTTTTAATCGAATTCTGTTCTTAATATTTAAATTTTTATTTTCTTATTATTTTCTTGACTTAGTTTTTTTATTTTTGATTCTCTATATTTTATTTTATTTCTTTCTATTATCAAGCACGCGCTAGTAAAAACTTATAATTAGAACAAAGAAATTATTATTTTAAATAAACTGATTTAGATATAGATGGATTATCTAAAATCTCATCTAAAAATTTAAATCTAGATGCCTAAAAGTTGAATACAATATAGATATCATGTTCGTTAAGAAAATCATTGATCTTCTAGCTCTCACATTATTTCAACACATAAATTCAACTGCAATTTCAACTTTACTGTTGTTTATGCACAAGTAGGTATAAGTAAGAATCAATAAGAGGATATCAAATCCAATATCCCAATTCACATTGTCATAACATCGGATTAGCTAACTATCTAACTTGAGTAATTTGCAAGTATCTTCTCTCTTGTCTCCATCGTTGATCACATCATAAATCCATCTTCACATCATGTTGAGGTTGATTCAAAGTTTGTGCTTCATCCGGCTCCTAATAATGGCCATATCTACTTTGGCTCAAAGCCCTGCTGTTCTTGATGCTGATGGACAACCTCTTAGAAGTGGTGTAGAATACTGTATATGTACTACCAGCCGCGCGCTACTGATACTGCTTGTGGTTTAACTTCATTGGATCGCAGTGGAACTTGTCCATTTTATGTTGGTCAAGAACCTCTTGCAGCTGTTGTATCTCGAGGCCTCGCAGTGATCTTCGCGCCTAGAAATCCTGAAGAGAGTATTATCAGTGAAGGCACAGAGTTCAGTGTTACATTTTCAGCTTCATCAACTTGTGTCCAAAATACTACTTGGAGTATAAGCCGCGAGGAAGATTCAGAGACCTCAAAGGAGTTCAGTATCGCATTAGAACGCCAAAAAAAATGACGGGAAGGACAAGATAAAAATCTGCATAACACTCAAGTTTAGCAAATTTAACGAAAGTAAAGAAGGAAAAGGACCAAGAAACCACAAAACAGAGCAGCAACCAAAGGATGCAGCTTTGTCTCCACACAAGCTAAACTACCAAGCTAAAAATCCAAGGGATACTTCCATAAAACCAAAAAACGATCTCGATTCTGATTTAAAATATTACTATATATTTCCATCTATCATCATCTTTTCCATATCAAAAGAGATCTTCAGACCAAGCCACTGTCATCAAGAAACATCATCTCCTCCTTAGACCTACTCTGATTTGCCAAGAATTAAATGGAAGAGAATGAATGGTACGGTGAACAACCAGACCACTCCTTAACACAAGAATGAATGGTACGGTGAAGAACCAGACCACTCCTTACCACAAGCTAGAACTAGCCATGGCCTCCCTAGAATTCAACCTTCAACACCTGGCAAAACAAACCATCACCACCAGGAACCTCAAGCAAAAATAGGCAAAGGAAGGGCCAAAAACATCTGGCTGACTCAGATCCAAGCAACAAATTCACTTGTTTTGCGCACTTCTTGTTTAGCTAGATAATTTGTCATATAATTAGACTCACGACAAGAATGAATGAAAGTGATTGAGCCCAAGCATAAAGCCAATCTCTTGACTGAAGATCTAGATTATTCATCCAACTAATGTTATCAGTAGAGTCGGATTCAATAATATACTATGTTTGTGATGCAAGAGAGAGTTAGAGGCTGAAATTTCAATAGCTTTGACAGTAGCTCAAAGCTCGGTTTCATTGGATTCTAAAATACCAACCGAAAACGAGAAGATACTAAAAAGAATTCTATAATGATTTCGCAAAACACCACGTATATCTGAGGGAACAGGCTTTCCCAGCGAAGATTTATTGTGATTGGATCAGGTGAAGCAGACTACTTTAAAATTACAAGGGATCAAATAACTGGTGTCTATACCTGGTCTCCATTTTGACCAAGATGCGGGTCTGCTAGTATTCTGAGTTCAAAATGGAACCAGGTTCTTGGCCTTAGATGGTCCTGCATTCCCTTTTATATTTAGAAGGGCTTAAGCTAATCTCCATGGTAAATTATATATGTGACATTTTGTAATTGTAATACTAAATAAATGGAGATCGTTCATATGATTTACTCACACTTTGGATGTCTTTCTTGGCTGCTGTTCCTCAATCGCAAAATCATCATCATTATGTATTAAACAATGTTTCGTGATTTTTGGCACGAACGGTGCCCTTTGACTGAGCTACGGAGATGAATTGGTTCAATGCCTGGGAATTAGTCTTTAGATATATAACAGTACCGGAAAATTACGTAGACAAAAGGAATATCCCAGTGTAATTCTACAAGTAGACTCTCTCAAAATGCAGGAAATTTGTTATCTATTTATTTTTTTGATACATATAAACATCAATAGAGTATCTTTAGATGTTTTCGAGCTCCCACAACTAATACTCTACGTCTTTATAGTAAATGCTATAGACTTGCACCATGCTCAAATTTGTGTATCGAATATGCAACAATCC